CACGAACTGATACAGCATCGTCTCCGTAAACTTCACAAATTTCATTGGTGTAAAAGGTTTCCCAGTCCGTCCTTTTAAAGGCTTGTAGAAATGTAAAAATTTTCAATAAATTTTAAGATATGTAGTTAGAATGATCTGGAACAAATACACATTATTTTCTTCGATAACTTGTTACTATTTTCAAGAGAATTTCATAATGCCAGCCTCTCTTCCATTGGCAAAGAACTACCGCAGTCGATTTTGGTAAGCTTCTCTTGAGGTGAGGTGAACTGTTCACCAGTTAAATCATTTGCCATAGGCGAGTTACTATCAATGTGTGCAGTCTGCCGTTGTCCTGACGGAACAAAAATCCTCTCCTAATGGTCAATACTGCCCGTTTGTGGGCGATCGCTTCCTTGGAAACGGAAGCCATCTATTCAAAAAATAATTGATTTTCTTTTACTTTCAAAGAAGTCCAAGCCAACCAAAGTCTAAATAAAATCAGAGTATTTTGAGCTATTAACTGGCACTCTGAGTAGTGTTCGAGTGTATGTGTGATTTTTTAAAACCTAAATTCTCTGAGTCTGATAGCAACTTTCCCAGTTATACACTTTCCGACGATGTCTACGGGCACTATGTGCAAGATGACCTTAAATATAATGGTCGGAGTGGACCTTACTGCACCATGCATAGGTAAGTGCCAATCAGTTGCATATCATCTTAACAGCCTGCTGCAGCTGCGCTGGTATAATGCCATCCGTTCATCCAGAATGTCGACAAAGGCCGCACAACCATCTTAAAGCACTTTGAGAGATATCACTCCAGAGGACGTATTTCTCGGAGCTCATTGAGCAACAAGGAGCATAAGAAGTGTATCTGCACTGCTTAGGGCCCACTTTCCATTTGCGGCTTTAAAATAACTCGGGAGGGACGGTGTTCTTTGTGAGAATACGCCTGAACCTAAGAGACTCATGACAACCTTCTACTTTTTCACAGAAGCTTTTCTATGAGTGCCTCTTTGAATTGTATATTGTAAGTCCCGTTTTATGCAACGTCTAGTCGTCAGTTGATCGAATCCTATGGGCTTTGTTGCAGGACGCTCTAATTTCGATAGTTTTAGAGTCCATCAAAGAGCTTTTCCTCTGCCTTTCTGGACAGGACGGAAGCTTTCTAGTTCAGTTTAACATGCCATGCTGGTGCGGTTCATTTTCCAGTTTGTATTCCTAGAGTTTCTAAGAGACTTTCTAGCTGAGCATTTTCCTACTATACTTATGATCAGAGAAGAAGTGATCGTCCAGTACCTGTAAATCGGACTTAGTTCTGAATTTTCAGTTGTGAAACCCAAAAACTAACAAGAAGTAATTTCAGTTGTCATTGAATTTGACACCATTGACTAACTACTACAATCTATAGATGTTGACTGAAGTGATAGCATAGACTTTTTCGTCAAATATTGACCCAGCCACAATATGCCAGCACACTGCCAAGACTCTATAATTTCAAACAAAAACCCGTTTAAAATAAATACATAGACAAACAAATATTTCAAAATATTTTCGCTGAAATGTTTGCATCTTCGTCAAATCGAAAACAGATTTCCAACAAAATTTAGTTAGCTACAATAATTTAATATTTTACGAAGCCACCTTTGAGCCACCTCTAAGAATCTTATTATTGCTGGAAAATTGTATAAAAGCATGAAATCTGAACTTTCAATTGCTCTCCTGAGGTTTCGTGTTTGTAGGTATTGGCATGCAGGATGTCGACAGGAGCCGCCACCGAGCCGCAGCCACAGGTGTAAGTTTCAAGTTTAATTTATTTTCCTGTTTTCTAGTTTTGTCGGTAAAGTGAAGCAACTAAAAAAAATGGAATAATATTAATATTAAAGAAAGCAAGCTTTCTTTTAAAGAACATCAAAAGAGAACAAAGTTTTTGCTTTATGGTACATTTGTGTATAAAATTGTGTCAGCTATTGTGAGTTTGTTTTCTCCTACTCAACAACAAACTTCCGAAGAATTTATGCGCTTACAATATGGGTATTAAAATATAGCTTTTTCTGTATTACAAGTTATTGCAAGTCTAGCAGAAAGAGGAAAAGCTGGTTTATTGCTTTACTTTTCTATGTAGTTTATTGAAGCTTACATTTTTCCTTGAACTCATTACATGCTTTGCTTGAATGCCAATAATACTACATGTGGGAGAGCAAGCGAGCTTTGATTGCATATAATCGATACATTTTCACATGAACAGACTAATTCAAAGATGTCGGATTTAAACTGGGTTACAAACGGAGCTAAATAGCAAATTTAGTTGAAAATTCAGTTTGCACTTACGTTTTGCCTCCGTAATTGTATTTATATGTTTCCATCCCAATTTGTAGAATTTTTGCTACTCGAGAGAATTCACAAAAAATCCGTCATTTCTTGGCCTATGCATTATTACAATTCGTTGACTTAACCGATTGTCCGCTCTCCATAGAAAATGTCAAATATACTCAATGTATTTCTGGCCTTAAAAGTCTCATATTAAGTCGCTATCACATAGGAGGAAATGAAAGGGCCAGCGTGGAACTCGGCCCACAACATAACTTCTTACGGCTACGTAAACATCTCGAGATCTTTCAGGTCTCGTTCTTCGTTTCTGTCGCGCTTGGGTAACTTCAAAATAAAGTATTCCAAGTCAGCCGAGCAGAACTTCTGTTTCAAGAGACGGAATATTGATCCATTACCAAGACCATAGTGTTCAACACATTGACATCTCCTCCAATTTTGGGCATTAGTGGTCTTTGTAACTGTGCTTTCTTATATCAGATTTCAATAACAGGGTATAGTCTAACACAGCAATTACATTCTAAACTGTTGAACTGACAAGTCAGGTTAGTTATATCGCGCCATAGATACTAATAGATCTATTGGTCCTTAGTAATGGGCGATAAAGGTATAGTTTCATTCGAACTGACGTATTTTTACGAAATTTAAGAGCGATTTTATATCTACTTCGATACTTCATATGGCTAAATAGCAAGATAAGAGGTTTTCAGCGTCTCTTTTATGTCTACTTCCCTAGACTTTCTGTAGATTGTGACCAGTCATTAGGCCAGTAACCCCCCGCAGTTCTTTCGAGACAGTGTGAGTAAAAAGCAAGCGTGTTTTGTTTTGTTGATCTTTTAACTACAATTTCTATTAATCTCGGTTTAAAATCTTCTGCAGCCATAGCTAAAATTGAGTATAAAGCTTTACTATCTGTGGATGTACAGTATACCGATTACATTGCCCGACCTCGACTTTTTGATTATATCTTATATTAAATAGGCTTCATTTAAGTACACAGATTGGATTGGATTTTTCTAAGTAAGGTGCCGCCTATAAAGTCTTCTACAGGTCGCGACAAATTTAAGGCTATTTATTGAACAGATTGTTTTTTTAGTGATGTTAGTCCCTTAGTTCTCTTTTTCCACTGCTAAATTTCTCCTGATTTTTCTTCACTAAAGGAACCAAGTAAACTGATGCAAAGTTTCGTCAGGATCTGACCTCTGAGCCAAGTGGCTGAATAGTTCTCTTGCTAAACAGCTTTTCTTTATCGGAAATTATATTTCAAAGTTTATTTGCGGTTCTCAATTGGAAACCTCTTAGGGAGGCCCTTCCCTTCTTGAGGAAAAAAGATCACTAGATTTCCCGCGATCGATCTTGGGTCAAAGGACTTTTGCGACAGTGCACATACCGATGGTAACCCTACGCTGGCCAAGCTTCCCCGAAGCCAAACTATCTAACAACTCAACACAAGGGGATACGGATGCACCGATCTTCTTCCATTCTACCAACAGCGGTTCTAGGGTGCCTAGGGTGCTAACAAGAGCTAGCTTCCCCGAAGCCAAACTATCTAGTAACTCAACACAAGGGGATACGGGAGCACCGATCTTCTTCCATTCTACCAACAGCTGTTCTAGGGTGCCTAGGGTGCTAACAAGAGCTAGCCCATCAGCTTTTTAGTTTCACCCCCAGTTTACAACCCATACCAGTCTTATCACATATACATTCGATGCTATTGATAATGAGGTTATGCACTCCTTGACTAGCCCTGAACGTTAATGAGTTCAAGGCTAGTACCGCCTGGATGGCCACTTCTCTGAAAAATGCTGCAAGCTCGGTCTGGAAAACACTACAATAGTAAGTAGGTCTAAAGGGGTGTTTTCAGAGTCGATGAGGAAATATTCTCCAAACAGCTGAACCGATTGACTTGAAATTTTTACACATCATTCTTAGATATACTATATTTGTCAAATAATGATCGAAGGAGTAAGAATGAAAAATTTATTTCTTAAGTCATTGTGATTTGTAAATTTTTTTCATCAAAAACGAAATTTTTGAGGAATACGCTATTTTGTCGAAAATCAAAATTTTGACTAATCCTATCTATAGTTATCATTATTCGTTTATTTTTATAATATATATTTTTCGTTATTGAATTTGAGATAATTTTAAGCGGAAAAATCTTCCTCATCGCCGAACACCTTTTTCGGAAGGTCATCTTGGAGATCAGCTACGGCATCCAGGGTATCCAAAATTTTTCAAAATAAATCACCGTTAAATTATATTTTGTAAATTCGAATTATTTAATAAATAAAAATACTGTGTTGCACAAGCAACGTATTTACAACAAAAAAATTACAGAGATAAATTGTCGATACAAATTTTTACACCAGCAAACTAAAATAATTATATTCCAATCATGCCCAATTAAATTAAAAAAAAAAAAAAATATTGTAATCATAACTGCACATTTCCTTCATTTTTATTATGTATTTATGAGTTATTATTTTTAACGCCCATCAGCTGTGCGAACTTGTTCGCCGGAAGTACACTCAATATAAAACTAATAGCAATTTCTTCCGCTTCCTTTTCATTCCATACGTGCACACATCCGCCTACCAACAACGATACCTGCTGCTGCTGCTGCTGCCATCGACCAACTCCTCCACCACACTCCTCATCATGGCATAAACGAAAAAAAAAATTATATAGATGCGGCCAGGAGACACGTGTCATACCACGTATACTGCAATTACGCTCGCATTGGATGAAATCGGAGAAGGAATCGATGCGACTAATGGAGGCGGGCATCACCAAGGAGGTGATGAACGGTGCAATAGCACAATTTTGTCTCGAAATCATCGCTAAACATGGCGAACCAGCGCCTCGTCTATGCAATAAGGATCCGCTGACGCTAAAGATGGGCTCCTACGTGATAGAACTATTTCCAAATGTAATTATCGTTCGTTGTCGTTTGGCACATCTGACACGAACATATTTTGTAACTCTACTACACTCGACATGTCACTTAACCGTATACCGTCGCTTCTCTTCCGCTCTTATTTTTTTTTATTTATTTTTTGCTTATCTCTTTTATCTCACTTTTCTTTTGGCTTGTCAACCGCTTGGCGCGGGCGACGCTACATGTTGCAACATAATTTCGCTTTTAGGCGAAGTTCCTGTTTATGGTAAGAGATGGGCGCGCCACAGTGCATTCAATCATCTCGCGCCATGTGACGATAACCGGCTTCGATTTGACCAGCTATCGGCAGTGTATGCGGAAGTGGAACTTCGCCATCGAAGTGATGCACAACCAATGCAAGGAGATCGGCAAGGAGCGCTGCATGATGGTAAGTCCTTATGGCTATGTGCATTTGTGTGTGCATTTATATTTTTTCAGGCGACACCATACTATATAAAGTGCATTGTGGGAGGAACGCTTGCCAGCGCTCAAGTGCTTACAAATGGCGTAGGTTTGGCGCGGCAACTTCAGTCATTGATTGATTGGAACGTGTAGCATATTGACAAATACGTCGAGTACGCGTTCGTGCAACGAACGACTGCAAAAAAGCTACCTTCAAAAATAACTGACAGTGAGACGTGTTGAAAAAAATCTAGCGAAAAAACAAAACTGTACCATTATTTGCGCTTTGTTGCCGCACTTCACTAGCTGATTTTGGATTTTACATTTCATTTTTTTCGATTTCATTTTAAATTTTACATTTTAATTTTCAATTCACATTTTCCATTTGATTGATGACTTAATGGTTTAGTCGGTTGTGAATGCAAATGCGAATTGCTTCAACCGCATTTACCATTTCGAATGCGAGTTCCTTAATAAAAAACCATTTTATTTTTCACATATCATTTCATCGCTTAATTGAATTAAAATTCAAATTGTCCACTTTTTCATGTTTACTTTCCACCTAGGGTCAATAGTTTACATGCTTTTCTTTTTTCAGGTTTACTACGAACAATTGGTTCTGCATCCGGAGGAGTGGATGCGAAAAATATTGAAATTCCTGGATGTTCCATGGAATGATGCGGTTTTGCATCACGAGGAGTTCATCAATAAGCCAAATGGTGTGCCGCTCTCCAAGTAAGTCTGAGTGATATTTCTTCGATATAAATTTTAACTATAACAATATTTGTCAACGCTTCAAATGTTTAAATCGAAATGCTCTATGATCTATTCCTAAATTTAGTTTTCGAAAAGTCTGCTGTACAAAAACGAGGACACACTCATAAAATCTGTTCAAGATAGAAAATTGTTGCTCTTGAAAGTAGAAAATCAAAAGTTTTTTGCCTCTTAGTTATAATATATGGCTGCACGGGAGAGCTAAGAGCCAAAATAAGTGACGTAGACACCGTTTACCGCTTACCTTTCTCACGAAAACTCGTAACGCCGACTCATCAGATACTGGCATCGTCCTTGCACCATATAGCAGGACGGGGATGCTGAGTGACTTGTCGAGTTTGGTTGTTGTTCGTCGACAGAGAACATTATTTCTCAATTGTCTCCTTAGTCCGAAGTAGCACCTGTTGGCAAGAGTTATTCTGTGCTGGATTTCTAGCCTTACGTTCTTCGTGGTGTTGATTGAAGAAGTCGCACGGTAGGGAGTCCCCTTGTGTGAAACCTCGTTTGGTATCGGACGGCTCTGAGAGGTCTTTTCCGTTCCTGATGGAGCTTTTATTAGTACTCAACGTCACAATAGGTTAGGTTGAACTATACTGGTCCGGGCCTTAGTAATGTTAGATGGATATTCAGTTTAGTTTGAGCTGAAGTACAGGACGTCAAAGCTTTTTGCGAACTTTCAGAGCGACCTGGATGGGAGGTGTTCCAGCATCTTTCTAATGCCTACTTTCTTGCCATCCGAGTCGCCTGCGATTCTAGAAGGTTGTGACTTGTCATCAAGCCAATAACCGGTTTGTAGTCTCTTCGTGGCCCTACAACTTTTGGATGTCAGAGGCTACTAGATTACAAGTTTCACAGACGCTTGTAAACAACCTTTATACCTTTTCGATGTCTACCGATTCTTGTAGTAAATTAACGAGGTTGCTCACGATGTTGAACTCTAATCGAAAAATCAGAACCACTATAACTGACTCCATGAAGTCAAGAAGCCCACTACATCTTCGACGATTCACAAAGGATGAAAATACTATGATATTATTGTTGTTGTTGTTGTTGTTGTTGTAACGGCAGAGTTCTGCCGAGTTGACAGTCCTTGGCCGGATAAAAATCCGGGTCCGTTCCGGTTTCCGTAGATCCGACTGTCGTGGGAACGGTTTATTATTGTTCTGTTGCTGGACTCTCTCTTTCCTGAAGAAGTCCATAATGTCAGAACTATATATCACTATGAACGATGACGCACTACTTCTAATATCTTTATACACTTTTGGAAGATGTTATCACATAATACAGATAACAAGTGGACTATCCATCACTTCCAACGGCCGATAAAATTGTTTCTGGGCGTATTATTTTTTCTGGTCTACGATCTATATTTATATTCTCAGGAAATAATCGATTTAGCCATGTCCGACTGTCCGTCTCTCGGTATATATGCGAACTGGTCCCTCAGTTTTTCAGATATCGATCTGAAAATTTGCACCCGTCCTTTTGTTTCGACCAAAAAGCTGCTCATTTGTCGGAACAGTCGCTATCAGACAACTGTAGCTTATAGCTGCCGTCTAAAGTGATTGGTTAAAACCAGAATAAAGGCCTTTTGTTTTTACTTTTTATGCAATGATTACGGCAACTATGAGTCGTATTATAGCTACGGTGCTTTTTGTTTGTTAAAAATTGTACAATTTGTTTCTCACTTGCAGAGTTCGCCGAAATGTATAATTTAACATTTTTTAAACAGTTAATTTTTCAATCTTCTAATATATTTTTAAAATGTTCGCCGACAATTGGAAGCAGATTCGGCAATTAGTTTCGAGGATGTGAGCGTTTTTGTAAGAATTATAAAATTATTTAATTTTTTTCTCACTTATACATTTCGCTTAAATGTATACTTCAAAATTGAGGCAGTTAATCCTTCAACCTAATTTCATGTGAATTTTCTAGTTTATTCAGAGAAAGTCAAGCTTAAAAATTAAAATAAAAATAGATTATTTCAGATTTTCAGTTATTTTCGTTTTATTGTCGTGACGGGTTTGAACGAACGAAGAAACTTTAGGCAAGTTTTTCTTGAACCTACTTTTGTGGATGCGGTCATCGAAATATCTTAAGTTCTACTTGGCGTGAATATTTCTTAAATTTCTAAAATAATAGTAAATTTATATATGTAAGTTCTAAAATAATGGAGAAAGTGAGAAATTTACCGAAAAAAACGACCTCTATTCTTGAGTACCCGCATTTTATGAAAATGCTTAGCATGCATGTTTAGAGTAAAAAAAAAGATCTTGTGCTTTTTTTCAGTTGCCAAGAAACACTAAAAATTCGGAGCTCTATACTAAAATACCTCTAAAGTTAGTTTTTAGTTATAGTTTTAGTTAGCTTTCTTTAGAATAATTAACTTATTATTCTCTCATAAACGCCCTAGGAACTCTGAAAATTCGTATATTTTAGATCCAAATTGCGAATAGTTATTTTTGTTTCTCATATTCGTTAAGTTATATAATTAATTATACAAAGACAACATATGTAACTATATATAATACAATAATATCATAATATTTTCTGCTATTATTCTAATCTCTTACAGAGTGGAGCGCTCCTCGGATCAGGTTATCAAACCGGTAAATTTGGAAGCACTCTCCAAATGGGTAGGCAATATACCTGAAAATGTGGTACGTGATATGGCCGATATTGCGCCCATGTTATCGGTGCTCGGTTATGATCCCTATGCGAATCCACCGGATTATGGTAAGCCAGATGCTTGGGTACAGGATAATACTTTTAAGGTATGTGCGCCACAGTCCTTTCGTCAAACTTGTCCTCTTTAATTTTTGTGTGTTTTTAGTTTTTTGCTACGTGTTTTTACAAAAATTATCCAATAATTCGTTCAGTATTGATTTTGTTTAAAAGTTTTCATCCGTTTTGTAGCACTCATTTTACGCATTTTGAACCACCTATTTTAGCTCCCATCATAAAAAAAAAAAAAAAGATTAAAAATTTCTTTTAATCGGTAAAAAAAAGTAAATAAAAAAAAATAGTAATTGAAGGCTCGTTAGAGCACTTGCTAATAGACTTGTCTCCTGTCGGACAACACAGCTCGCCTCTGAGTTGAATGACAGCGTTAAGCGTGCGCTCCGTGCTCGCTCTGCGCTCTGTGCTCTTGCCATTTGTCAATTTATTATTATTTGCGATTCGTGATAGCGATTTGCACACAAACTCCTTAATTCGTTTATTTATTTACTCACAGTCTACTATATAATTATATACTTACATATATTTTTGGTTTATTTCCAGTCCATTAAATATGAATATACGTATTCTGAATAAAATTACACATAAACACCCACCCGCACACATACTAAACTACCCGTAATTCCACAAGTATATAACCAGTAAGAATAACTGATTGCTCACAATTTACAAACATATGTACAATAATACAATAATTTCAATATCAAACACTTGCCACTGCTTTTGTGTGTGTGTGTGTGTGTAAGGATATGCTTAGTCTTTGATGATAGACTTCATGTATATTTCAGACATATTTATTGCATGGAAATGAACTCACACTCATACACACATACACACGCGCATACTCGCACACATCCAGCCACATGTTCATACCACAATCATTCTCATTCTCACCATTCAGTATTCAGTAGTATTATTTTGCGAATAAGCCGCTTTCTATAGGCTGATGCTTAGTGGTAGCTCGAGTTAATCGAAAATTTTCCACACCCACACATACTCATTAAATATTTATGTGCCGGTTTGTGGCTAGAAAAGGCGCATATCAAAATGTCTGTCAGGACTTTGTTTTAGCTTGATTTGATCAATTATTTTGCTCGTAAATTTGGTAACCAGCCATTTGAGGTTTTATTTTGGTTGTTGTACTTGTGGCTAGATAATAGTATGGATACTTGAAGAACCGAAATTTCCAAATTAATTACTAAAGAAATAGGCCACCAGCTCGTGCTCAAGTAACGTCAGTTTACTTTAATATACTTAATTGCTTAAATTGAAGTGGATTTACAGGGTTATGCCAGGCTAGACAATTTATTCGGAGAGTAAGAAAAATTTAATGGTTTTATTAAAAATATACATACAGTTAAAAAAAAAAAATCACCCCTTGCAAAATGTCGACTAAAAGGGCATAAAGGTTCGGAATCGCCTTTTTCAAGAGCCCTTCCGGGCGCGAATATGTTAATAACCCTTACCACTATCCATAGAACACCGTTTATTAAAGCTGCAAAATTAATTCCATATGATAAAACTTTAACCATATAGTGGAGTGATTTTATTATATCAGACTTTTAGATGCAACAATTGAGGGAGGGAGTGGCATCGCATACTTTCAGCTGAATCTTCTTCTTGTCTCATAAGTTTTTGGAACAAGCAAAACTAAAATTGGTGTCTAATATTTCAAGATTAATTAACATTAACAATGAAAATTTACAATTTGCTTTGACTAATCCAACTTTTCTATATTTTCATACTACCAGTTAGTGGGTCGTTCTGTCCCACATTCGTTTTATTTTCTTCATATATTTTATTAAATACAATTTTTGTGTTTTTCAATATTTTTCCTATCTAAAGCTGTTTCCTAAATTTCTGTATTCTGTAAAAAATCTCAATTTAAACAATTTTTTGTTTATTTACAAATTTTATACTTTGCTAAATGTTACTACAGACTATATATAACTTTTTCACCTAAGGCTTGTACGTAACACCTAAAACTAAGCGAGTTATATTTAAGATTGTATACATATATATAAATGATCAGGATGAGGAGACGATTTAAAATCCGGGTGACAGTCTTTCTGTCCGTTCGTGTCAGCTGTAACTTGAGTAAAAATGAAATTAAAATAAAAGTTCAAAAATTTGCCCCAGGCCAGCTGTCGATACCAGCAAAGCTACAATAGCCAAATGCGCTTCAGACAATTTTTATAAGAACTCTTATCGGCAATGTGAAAATAGATGATATCGGATTGTAACTCCGCTCTCTCCTCATTCAGCAGACATTTAGTGGTATGAGAGGGCTTTACACAAGCCGGTATCAAAATCGGAAACGAAGGGCGTGGCGCCGTTCACTTTTAAGTAAAATCACTTATCTCGGCACCTGCTTGACCGAATGCAATTAAATTCGCTACGTAACTAACTAACTTCTAACATTCTTCTGGCACAGTGACGAAATCGAACTATAACCGCGCCTCCGTCCCATATAACATAATTTTAAATTCCTATTGATTCCTTCACTTTCAAGTACATAAACAAGACGCAGTTAATGCAACAAGATAAAACTTTGCACGAATAGCGACCTTAAATGTGCTACCATATTTCCTGAAATTTTGAAAGTCAGCCGAAAAGAATTCAAGCTCCTAGGTACCGAATATGTTGACTCCAGTGCCTATTGTTGTCGCTTGACCGAAAATATCGGTCAATGTGTGGGATATACAATTGAAATACAAAGGGAATACTTTTATTATAATAATATATCTGTGTGTCAAAAATGGGTTGAATTGTGCTGGTAATTCTCCCCCAGATACCTAATATAAGTATTTTTGAACTTAAGGAATAAGATGTATCTTTGTGCCTAAAATGAATAAAATTGGGTGATCTTGATCTAGCCCCCATATAACTAATATCCGGATATTAGAACATCCGGCTGACTTTACTCCAAGTGATTGGTGATCCCTGTAAATATTTAATTTATGCCGAATTTGTTGGCTAGTGTATGAGTTATATAGAGTATATGTATATATATATTAAATTGCTGGATTCCGATCCTCTGGTTGACGTTTTAACTTAACTCCTCCTTACTTTCTTTGTTTTCTAAATTCGTTGCTTTTTTCAGGTGTTATTTATTTTTTTTAAATTTTACATTCTGTTTGCTTTATTAATTTTGTTAGACTTGTTTTTTACGCAAACTTTTTATTTAAATTTAATTATTTTTTTCTGTTTTTTTTTTTTTTTTTTTTTTTTTTTTTTTTTTCCTTTTTTTTTTTTTTTTCAATTTTAATGTAATTGAATATCTTTTTTTTTTTTGGTTTTGTGTTTATTACTTTAATTTGATGTTATTAAATGGATTACTATTATTTTTTGTCATTATTGTTTTTCACAATTCGTTATTTCGGGAGTTTGTTTCTCCGTCTGTTCTTGCAAGCAAAACTCCAGTAAAAATGAAATCTTGCCACTCTCAGAAAGTTGGAATGACGATGTGCGAAAGTTGACCACTGTTGGTCCACTATAAAAGTTGGTAGTCGACCCCTACCAAATCTTCAAATTTTGTATAGAACAACACAAAGCATTAAAACTGCTCCTGACTTTAAACCAAACTTATTTTTGGTTTTATTTTCACTTTTTTACTGCAAGTTTTGTTCAAAATGTTAAAAGCTCAATGGCTTTAAGTGACTGTGTTTTCCAAAGCATGCTTTGGTTTTGTGCTTCAAGTCAAACAAATCGGCTTACAAATGCCAATTACCTAGTAAATTGATTTCAACCCCTCTAGTTGACTGACTCTATAATATTAATGACAGAAGTGGGAGTCCCAGCTGTCTCAATTCAATTACAAGTAGAAAGCTTCTTTTAGCTTACTGTCATACAAAAATTCTATGGCTTTTCTCAGCACAAAAATAATGAATATAAAGAGTGATGCATTTCGATGTGGGAGTGTTTGCTATCATTCGAAAGAATATTCTTTGGCATTTATTTTTTTTTGAAGATTATCGCCTTCAAAGGTCGGCCGCGGCTACATATCAGATGATGGCGAATGACAAGTGTGATATTTGTCTCAAGGCCTGGATCGAAGCGGGATTGTCCACATAGACTTTAGATTTTACATAACCGCCCAGGAAAAAGTTTACAGGTGTGATATTACACGGTCTTGGTTTGCAATCTACCGGCCCAAAACGTGAAATTATCTGCTCACCGAAGTGTTCTTTAAATAAATCCATGTGGAAAGTGGTGCCGTGTTGGTGAAACCTAATGTCGCAGAGATCACGAGCATCAATTTCAGGCATCAAATAGTTGGTTATGTTTGAAGAATGACCGATGATTTCACCGGCTCAGAAACCACACCAAACCCTTGTTGTTCTGTCTGAAATAGCAGCTCTTGAATCTTTTCAGATTGCCCTTCGCCTCAAATGCGACAATTTTTCTCTTTCACATACCCATTGAGTCAGAAATGAGCTTGTTGAGGGTCCATTGAGCCTGTTGAAAAACTTTTTTGTTTGAGAAAATATTTGGCATGGCTTATTGTCTAAAAAAATTTCTACAATCTGAAGTCAGAACGGGCCTCTATAGCATATAGTTGCCATGCAAACTGACCAACCGAAATTAAGTTCTTGATTTTTTTTTATTTGGGAAGGATATTAAAGCTTCGGTATAGCCGTTGTAGTGATGTTTCTTGTTATTGCTTTAATTAATCGCTTGAAGTAAAATTCGATTCATGTGTTAGTTTAGGCTGTTGCTAAAGGCAAATGTGCACTCATTAATGTTTAGATATTTGCCTTGCGTGTTTTCAAATCGCCATCTGTGAATTGTTGTGTTCGCACGCACACAAACGCAAATGAATATGTTTTAGGGATTAATTGTGTCTTAGCCTCCACCCAGCAGCCGGCAAGGGGTGGTGGGAGTGCAGTCTGTTAGCCACTAAGCGCAGGCGTGTGTTGTACACTTATTGTTGCTAGCTTTGTATTTAATCAATTAAATCACGCACATACCTACTCATCTACTCGCATGCATGCAAACATACGCACGCACTAAATAGCTGATCACTTATGCATATATGTATTTATATAACGGTTTATCCTTTTGAACTTTGCATAAGCTATGAGCCATTTATGTTGTTTTATGTGTGTGTATGTGTGTGTGCGCGTGAGCCGCATATCTTAAGAGGTGTGTCGCCGCACTTTTTGCACGCTGCCTAATCGCATGTCCTCTCATTCGCACTATTGACTAACAATTCACTAATACTTTTGGAAAATTCATATAATTTATTTTGGTTTTGGTTTTTCGGTGTTCTTTTTCTTTGCTACTTTCCATTGGTTTTGGTTGCTGCTTTGGCTTTGGCTTTGTTTGCTTTCAATTTGCTATCATTTAGCGAGATTCTTATTGATTTGGATTTTCACATAAATTTTCTTATTCCCTGTGCTGCGTGAAAAATCAACCAACTACAACAACAACAACAAAAACGCGTGCATAATCCAACAACAACAATTAGGTAAAGGCCAACCAGCAACTATGGGAAAATAAGGCGAGAAACGAGCTGCATCTGGTCGAGCATCAAGTACCCAAGGAGCCCAAATCGCAGGAGGTGGACAACAACAATAATAACATCAACAGTCAACGACGACGCTACGTAGGCACGATGAGTAATAACAACAACAATGAGAATAATAACCGAAATGATAATACCAACCAAGCGGTAATGGACTATGAGGATGACAACACTTACGTCAACACTAATACCAACAACAACAACAATAATATCAATAAAAATTACAACCCATCGCCGCAGGCGCACGACGGCAACCTTGTGTGGGTGAAGCCGCTAAATAACGGCAAAAGTATGAACGTGCAGCGTGCGGCGAAAGGCGCACATCACAACAGCAACAGCAACAATGTGAACACGGACACAGATACCGACACAGGCGCAGACACAGACACAGACACAGACACCAATACAGATACACGCACATGATATCAGCCGTTTGGCGACATCGCACAGCCTCCACAAAAGCAACAACAAAGCAAACAGCAGCAACAACAGCAACAGTACCACCGACAACGGATAGTGCTGCCACGTCGTTCGAGTTATCGGCGTCGTTTGCGCCGCAATCATTGAACGGGCTTTTGAAAGCGCACACAAATCCGCATTGACACACACACAAACACTCACACTTTTATACTTATATTTCAATAGACCTAAAAAAGTTATATATCTACACCACACACACACATACACATATACAAACACACTTGGATAAAAGTGTAACGCGCATTGAACTAAGCTGAATGGCGCTGAACTAAAATGAACTGAAGTGCACTGAGGTGTTGATCCGCGGCCAACGCAGCCGCATTCACTCTGACAATGACAATGACTACTACGTACGACGGTGACAATCCCATTGAGTGTGGAAAGTGGAAAACGCGCAGCGGAAGTGTGTATGTGCGCGCGCAGCGGAAGCGGAAGTCTACGACGCTGACGACAACGGCAGTTTACAATAAATGAGAAATAAACGCAACTTTCAATTCAATGCTTTGCTGCCATAATAGCTGCGGAATGACAGCAGAAAGCAGAAAAAACAACAAACGCTACAAAAAACACAAATGGCAAAATAAAAACCAAAAATGTTTAGAATGTAAACGTGTGCCGTGCGAAAGAATGGCGAAAAAGTGTTGAGAAGTGTGGGAGAGGCGCATGAAAGCAAATTAATTTAAAACAAGATGCCAAAGTGAAAATTCCCTTTACGCATCTGTGCGTGTGTGTGTGCGTTTGTGTAAAGTCATTTGTGTTTGTTGTGTTCCATTGTACTGAAAAAGGTTGGCTTAGCGAAACGTCGCGGAAATGTTAAACTAACTGTTGTGAATGGGATTAGCTGTGACGGCTGCACGAATTTTAATTGACCAACTGCGTGAAAATGCCCAACTAACTAACTGTTTAGTTGCATAAGTAACTGTATAGGCGACATACCGACCGACTAACAAGCGAACCTACCAATAAAATAAGTAGCAAACTTTTAAATTTTTCGTCTTTATTTTTATTTTTATATGTACATATTTTTGCCGCGTATAAAAAAGCTTTGTTTGATGGATGTGCTGTTTACAGGGAAGGCAGCTTAATTGATTTTTTTTTTGTCAAAATATATTTTTAAACAAACAAATAAATAAACTCAAGGAATTAAAAAGCAAATTATGCAAGGAAAGGCCTGAAGAAAATAAAATGAAAATTATTGAAATAAATAAAATAGAATATTGTGGACAATCAAAACAAACACTAAAGGAAATTAAATAAAAAATAAGATTTACAATTAGAGAACAAAAAACAAACTAATGAATATGATGCAGTAGAAAAAATTTAATTTATAATGAAGGAGAAAATAATAACAAATAAAATTAAATATAAAGAAATTATTTT